TTTATGTTGGAAGTGATCTTCAGAAATCTCTCAGTCAGAACATGCTATATCGTGTTTAGGTGGAAACTAGCGAGCTAACTTCCTGCTAACTTCTAACTCTGTTAAATTTAATAAATTCTGTTTTCATCGATGCCTGAATGTTAAACTTAATTGTTACACCTGGTAAAGCAGCAACGCTGATCATTTTATTAAAGATGAAAGAATTTAGACAGTTTCTAACTCTCAGTGATGCCGCAGTGTTTGTTTGACTTTGGGACCTGAAGACTTTTTATAGCAGATAACCACCTTAAAAATATTCTGCAGTGGAACAAAAACAAAAGAAAACCATGAATCAACCTGATCCTGCTGAAGTGAAGCAGAGCGAAGTTACAGAGGTTTAATTAGAGACACAGTTAAGCATTTTGCAATTTTGCATAATCTGAAAAAGTTTACATTTCTTTTGTATTGAACAGCAAAAATGAGGCCTCTTTTGTTGGAAGTCAGTGAAATTTAAAATGAAAATAAAAGTAAGAGGGCATTCATGACGATGTTTATGTGAAGCGAAATGTGAAGTGTAGTTTGGATCTTCTTTTGCTGCTGGTTCAGTCAAATTTGGTTGGAGAGAGACAAAACTGCAGTTTCAGAACACAAAGCGCGACGCATCAGAATCTGTGAGCTGTTGGCTTTCAGCCCCAACGGCGTGTACGTGCAGTCGGGTGAGAAAGCCGACATCTCACTGATTCTGATGCGTCGACGGGTCCGCCCTTTTTGTTTAGATCCTTGTGCAGAATCAGTGTCAAAATTTTGTGAGGTTTAACCTGAGATTCTGGCGTTTCAGGAAAAAATAATTTATATTTAAAAGTCAATTCAGGATTTTAATGAATCGATATCGCGTTATTCAAGCTAGAATCGATTTTAATTGGAAAATCGATAATCAAAACCCACCCCTAAGCAAACCAGAATTCATACATAAGGCGCATCAGATTATAAGGTACATTGTTGATTTTTGAGAAAATTAAAGGATTTTAAGTGCGCCTTATACTCTGAAAAATATGGTACTATGTGTTGTGCCCTTAAACTCACAAAATGACAAACTAGGTTTTGGTGTTTTAACCAAAAACTGCCGGATGAATAAAACATCGTACTCAGTACTGGAACTCTTTAACAGTCTTTCTCACTTCGTGCTAGAATTACTCCATATTACTGCAAGAACTTGTTTGACTGTATCCGACTCAAGGGTTTAGGTCTCTTCCCTTAATTTTTCATCCATCAAACCGAGGCCTTGAGTTTTAGGTTTCCTGAAAAATGCTCCACTTGTCTGATATATCAAAGTTCTATTAAAAACATCTCAGTGTGCTGGTTAATCTAAAGTTTAATGTATTACTTTTTATAATCATTAAAATAGTGTTTTAAGAGTTCGTTTTAGCTGCTCAGTGTGCAGTTTTTCTGTCTTGACTGCTCATACTGTTTGTCTTTTTGTCCTTTTCACATTGCTTTTTGTCCTTCTCGTTGCAACATTGGCTAGTGACCACCTCTGACCTTCTAGCTAATAGCTGTATGAGATAATGCCAGAGTGACGCACAGTTGCCCTGTAAAACTCTGCATCATTTATTATTTTGTGATAGAATCATTTTTTAACCTTTAGATTGTGCATGATGGCTTTCAACTGTAGTGTTGTGTCACAATGAAATATTATAGCAGTTGGAAGGTGATAATGGAGATGTCAGCACTACCTTATCTGTTTGCTGTACAATGCAGATAATACGCTTTGCTCGCTAGACTGGCTGGTAGAATATCTCCATATCTAAGCAAAGTAGAAAATATTATGACTTACTGTTACATTAGGATGTCAAAGAGCAAGTAGTACGCCAGGGATGTGCAGAGAATTTTTAAGGGGAAAATGACAAACAGGCACTGGTAATGTCATGTTTGGGAGTACAGAGCACAGCACTGCATATTAAAAAATATAGACACAAATTATGTAAATTAAGAAAAACCTTCATTAATTTGCTGCAGATACTCAACAGAGGCAAAAAAGCAACACTATCAAGGATTTTGTCTTTTTTTTTTTCCTTTTTTTTTTAGTGGCCGGTAGTTACCAGGGAGTCATTGACTGGTTTCCAGGGCTGCGTGACTGAGGCTTTAGCAGCTTCATAGTGAATGCCAGCAACCTTCAACAACCTTTGCAACTGGCCAGGAGGAAGTCATTGTTGTGGTTATTTAATGTCCTTAAAGAAACAAACATTATCCATGATTCCATGACAGATCTGAGGATGTGAGGGCAAATACTGTGTCTTCCACCTCCAAGTAACATCACCTGCCTTTATGTCTTTTGCACACCAGTTCCAGCTACTAGATGTGACAGATTGAACCAAAGTAGTATTAGAAACTAAAACAGTCTTATAGATAATCAACTTTAGCTCCTACACTCATTTTCGCCTAGTGAACAGTGATTGCCACACAGTTGCCAACTGGTTCTACGCCTGTGTATTCGTGGTCTTAGTTTAATTTATTAGGATATTATCATTAGCTGTAAGAATGCATATTCATACTGAGGTCTTATAAAAACTTTACATTGTGACAATACACAATAGCAACCGAGAAACAGCTCAACTGGAACACCAACAGACAAGAGAAGCAATACCTCCATCCTACAATATAAACTAGGTATAATGGGTATAATACTTCATTTAAAAGTATTATATATTATATATAGTATTATACTATGTTGAGTAAGCTTTCTGAAAACTAACATTGATTCATGTCATTCATTTATTTAATTAATTAATTACTATAAAATCTATCTATTATCTATTCTATTAAAAGCTTGGCAAAATGATTTTGTTTTCATATTTTTGTAAATATGATTTTACTGGTTAATAGTCTCTAGTCTCTGCCGTCATAGTAAATTCCATTTCTTCATAGCGTGATGACCTTAAAGAAAAAAAGAATAGTAATATATATTAAATATATTTATGTGTTTAAATTAGTGCTGTCAGCGTTAATCTCGTTAAAATGGCGTTAACACCGTAACCACATTAACGCAGCAGCACTAGTTTAAATAAAAAAAAAAAACATTAATCACTTCAGTTTTTACAGCAAAACATTGAGAATAATTTTATTATGTAGCGATATTTTTTTACCGTTAACTCAGTTTCCCTGGGTTTGTGTTATGAATAAATCTTATTTTTTGGTACCAGTACTGGTTTTATTGTGTTGTATTCATCCGTGACGCAGGAAAGACGGGTGGACTTCCTGGTGGAGCTTGCAAGAGAGTTGGCTCACTCTCATGTAGCTGGGAAAAGGGCAAGAAAAGAACAGTTGCTTTGGACACAACCCTCCACACCTAGTCCTGGAAAAAGAGCCATGTGTCAGGTCAAACTCAAATGCAAGAACAATCATGCCACTGTGCGATGTGTTCACTGCAACAGATACACATGTGGTAAATGCAGACTACAGATACCGTGGCAGTGCCAGGATTGTGAGTGATTGCTGAAAATGTTGAAATGTACTCACTCACTTTTTATTATTATTTGTAAAAATGTGTACAAATGGTTGGGGTTTTTGTACTGTTTTTATCAATAAAGGACATACACCCATGTGTGTTGATTTCTCCCTAAGAAGACAAACTGAAACACAAGTTTCCTTGTGGCTCAGGAAACTAAACACTCCAAGTTGGTGACTTTTGGAGATTTATTTTCCTGGATGATTGAGAATGCATCAAGACGAACACAAAAGGAAGTTCACCGCTTTTAGCAGCCCCCCCCAGACAAACAAAGAGGCAGTTGGCAGTTAGAAATCAGCAATCGTTCACACACCCCCACTCCCCTCCAGAATTCTCAGGTAACAACCTAATTTACATATGAATTGATGACTAGCCAATTTAGCTTCCACTTGGCTGAAGCTAAAGCCTAGCTAAAAGGTAGAAAAGCCAAATGGCTGCTCTCTGGGACTCTAGAAAAGGACGGTCCGTGAAAATGTTGGCGAACATAAACCGGCCCATGGCACAAAAAAGGTTGGGGGCTGCTGCTATATAGCACTGTTACTGTGTCTATTGAAATAAAAATAAATAATAAAGTATGAAGAACATATTTAATCTTTTAACAAATGCATGAAAATATTGAAAAATCTGTGATTTATGATTATTTTAATTTGCGTACTTCTTCTAACTCAATAGAATTTCATGCATTAAGAGACGTAGCTGGCCCTGTCTAACAATTGTATGGTAAGATTCCCAGGAGCTTGAGGCAATAGCAGCACTACTAACTGTGTTTACACGTCCGTTACAGTAGATGCTACAAGTAAATGAACACACAGTGTCAAAAAATCTTCAGTAGTAATTATTGTGTCTTCATTGCACTAAGGGATTGTGTAATCAACTGTTGAGTGCTAGTGTATACACTAATCAGGCATAATATTATGGCATCGGTTAGTAGGAACATATTAAAGTATATCCCTAATATGCATTCCTAAGATACAATATGAGGTAAAAAACAACAAAAGTTAAAAGAAAGTCTCCAATAAAATAAATATTAAAGACTCACCACGTATTACCAGCAGTTAGTGTATATGTCTTCACACCTGAGAGTGTATCTGAGTTCTACAGGTGTTTGCACTGTCAGCATTGTATATCCGGTTGTTAAAAGTGATCTGCGTTTTGTTGTTGCTTCCATTGTTTTTCCACAAAAATATGCATTATGAGATGAACATTACCATCTGCTGGAGGGCAGAAGAGAAGAAGAATCAGATTAAGACATTATTCTCCAAACAGACTTTTCAGTAGAAAATTTCCAAGCCAGACTTTGTGCTAAGCTGGAGTGGATAGTTTCAGACTTGCACTAAAGACTGTAACATTGAAAGATATTAACATGAATTAAATAAGCTGAGGGAACGGGGATTATGATTTAAATGACAAATGGACTTGATGTAAGGTTTTATGACTCAAAGAAAGAACTTGATAACTTCTTATGTGTTATAGTCGCTTGTTTGACATTTGTTTCAATGTTGTTCTTTCTTCTCAGCACTGTGCACAGAAGAGTGTGCCCATGGACGATGTGTCTCTCCTGATACTTGCCAATGTGAGCCAGGATGGGGAGGACTGGACTGCTCCAGTGGTGAGTACTCAGCAGACAAACAGACAGTAAATGGAAACATTACTACAAAGCATTGCATTACAAGCGTAATGTAGCATAATGTAGCTTTGAATAACAGTAACAACAGTAACAACAGTACCGCAGTCGATAAAAATAAAATTGGCCTCATCCTTTTCTATTTTTGTCTACTTTTCTAACCTGTTTGGTTTTGTAATATTTGAACATAACAGTTCATAGCATTTCTTAGTATAACTTACCATTACATGGCTTTGCATAACATAACACAACATTGTATAACTGTAGAACATTTAGAGACAAACTATCCGAATTTCAGGAGCAGGACCACTCCTCCAAACACGCGCCCTCCTGTTCTCATCTATATGACCCCCAGTTCTCAGTTACTTCACTTTTCACTGACAGACTGACAGAATTTGTAATCCTGATGTGTAAATAACTAGTGGTGACACAGAACGTTAATAGCAAAATGATCAAACACTTCATGAAGACCAACCAGTCATGTTTTTTAATGTTAATGATTTTATTTATATTTATATCTGTATGTTAAAGCAGAAGCTGCTGTAGCACAAGCTTCCATTGCTAGTTGTATTTGTTGATTTGCTGAACAGCATAAAAACATGTGAAAGGAGTGTTTTTTCTGGTATACGGACCAATATAATTTCTGAGCAGTAGCTTGGTACAAGGCTAAGGGATCGGAAATTAGTAACATAATTTAAAACAGCTTATAAAAACAGGTGATGTGTATTAAAACCTTTTAAATATATATATTCCATTATACCAGGAAAACATATATTTAAAAAAAATCATTGCTTCTAACAATTTTGAAACCTTTAAAAACATTAGATTTTGATCTGTGGCTATTACTTGTTTTCCTGCAATAATCCAGCCTAAAACATGAGCAGCATTTAACTATTAGTGACACAGCATAAAATTACAGATTGGCAATGTGTTTAAAGGGACAGCTGGCATTAACCTTATGTCACGAGAGGGCAGAGGTCAATCCCTGTTGATTGTGCAAATCAATACATTTTGTTTCGTTTACCTTTAGCTTCATACAAATGCAATATGTAGGAAAATAGAAACACATGCAACATGAATGCAAATACATAACACTGAAATAAGACAAAAAGCTCAAATTCACAAGCTGCTGTCCCGTGCATTTAGCCAGAGGTAAAGAGTGAAGTGGACATTGTTGACAGGTGTGTCTAATATACGATGCTGGGCTGCATGTTCAGCTGTGCTGGGATTTTTGTCTTTACGCGCTCATTATGGAGAGAAAAACTTTTTATCCATGTCTGGCTGACAAAGTTTAACCATTACATGAGACACAAACAGCTAAAATATGCTTTGGCTTTGAAAAAGCTACTCAGAGCTCATCAGTAAAAAAGCATGTAAATGTAATGTGTCAGAGGCATTGTCTGTTTCCATGACAACAAATGGAGGCCTGTTCCATAATGCAATGCAGACAGAAGAGCTCACAAAGAAACCTCATCGTTGGCGTCAGTGTTTTATGGACTTTGCCTAACTTCCAACAACCTTGTGGAGCGAGAGAAGTGAGGTTACTTAAAGCCTTATAATCACAGGCCGTTTCCTGTAGGTGACTGAAATCCTTCTGTCAGCTGTATCATGCACAGCAGAACAGAGAGACAAAAACACCTTTTTTAATCTAGAAGTTATACCAGAGATATAATAAGAGAGCCACATTGCATCAAGGAATTCTGAATTTAAACCATTAAGCTCAATGGTCAAGCTCAAGAAAGACCCTAAGGCGAGCTGGCCTTAGGGTCTTTCTTTTGGTCCCCAAACATGAGAATCATCTTCATACCCTCAGAATTATGGAATCTCTCTGGGATTCCTCTGAGAAGATAGAAGGAACCAAAATCACAGAAGAACTCTGTAAAGTCCTTCAAGATGCTGGAACATCCTAAAGTTGAACCAAAAGTTTATTTTAAAAATGTGCAAACACAGAAAAAGAGCAAGATGCGGACAGCCAGGCTCCAATTTCATTCTCAAACTTCTTGCAAAGCTAACATTTCAACCCTCTGTCTTTCCTGTCTGTACAGTAACATTGCAGGCATTTTCACATTTTCAGACATTATGGAAAGAAATGGTTTTAAAACATTTTTACAACAAATTTTACACATTATGAGATTATGAGCAAAGTCTAGACATACATGTAGAATAATTGTCATGGTCCTGGGTCTGATAATTATTAATATTGTGCAATATTGTGGCACCCTGCTTTCCGTGTTCATTTATTTCCTGTTTTACTTTGACAGTCCCGCGTCCTGTGTTACTGTATTCTGTTTTGACAGGGAGGAACTGTCTCATGTGGGTGATCAGCTGTATTCACTCCTGTTCCTTATTTCCTCGTTACCCTCCTGTGTATTTAGTCCTCTGTCTTCCTCCTTCTGTTGTTGGTTCATCTGTGTTTCTTCCCTTGTGTTTCCAATTTTCAGGTTTCTAGTTTCATACAATATTTAGTTTTCCCAGTATAGGTTTCGTTAGCTTCATCCTAGTCATTCTGTGCTTTTTGTTTGTACTTTGATTCAGCCAAATAAAAGGCTCGCTTTCTGTTCATCACCTCACTCTGCCTCCATCGTCTGCTTTTGGGTCTACCTTCTCCTCACTCCACGCCGTCTGCCTCTGCAAAAATAAAAGTAAAAGCCCTTTTGCACTAGTACCTACTCGGTTCGGGTCGAGTCTGCTCGACTTGGTTTTTAGGGTTTTCCATTAGGTGGTAGTACCTGGTACCAAGTACTGTGTTAGTACTTTCTCTGCTGGGGTTCCAAGCAATCTGAGTTGATCCAAAAATGTGACGTCAACAGGCTGCATCGTGCTGATTGGTTGACTTGACAAAAGTCAACACTGCCATTTTTGAAACCCGACGACGAGGGAAATGGCTGCACCAAAACCCACAGCATGGTCCAGCTATTAGGTGCAGACTCGTACCATGGTGGGGGTGTTTGTATATTGCCTCCATGTCCTGTCTCTTCACAGAACTTTCGGCCGTGTTGCTGTCACGACTCCGGGCACATTGAGGTGGTACGCCATTGTAATGGAAAACAACAGAAACCGAGTCAATTCAAGTCAAGTCACGAGGCAGAAGTCTTCTGGTGTTTACTATTTTAGCCTTCATGTATCTTTTGCATAGTTCTTAACAAAGGCTATGAGTAAACGGATGCAACTGTGTCACATCTGGAAAATAATTCTCGGTACACAGAAGTAATCTCTGTTGATTGAAATGATATACTTCTGAACCTGCCTACGCAGCAGTTTGCTTCTCATGTGCCTGATTCTATAAAGAATCTTTATCATCTTAAATTTCTTCTTTGCAGCATTTTCTTTCTTTTTATCTGATCCTTTTTGCACATGATAATCTTTGTCATTATAATCACAATCCCTGCATTACATGATAATTTTCATCAGACTTTTTCCTTATCTGTCGTTAATTTCTTCTCTTTTAACTGCTTCTGAAGCTTCTCCCAGAGTCCCCTGTTCTGTCTTTGCTTTCTCTCGTCCTGCTCCTTCTCTCACTGCTTCAGCCATGCTTTGTCTGAGCTGTTTATGCTGCCTGGCAGAACAACAAAGTTCTTCACCTGGACAGGGCTCTAGAAAGGGAAGGTGGCTGAGGCTCACACATTGCTACATAAACTAATCTGATTAGCTGCAGAGGAAGACTTAACACAGGCTTTCTTTTTCATTGTTCAGTGTTTTTAGTCACTTGAAGTTTGACTTACTTGTTAGTCACAACTTGTGTTCGACAAACATAAGACGCATTTTCTAACACAACAAACATGTACATCACAGTCACATGGAAAGTATGTCTGCATACAATATTATATTTAGTATATTTAGTAGTTCAGAGCAAAACGTGTGTAATAGATTTTGACAAGAGAAATATTTTCAACATGAAATGCTATAAAACCCTGTAAGTCAAAGTTTTTGCAAAGAAAGCGCCCCCTCTTGGTGACACTAGGCCATTGCATGAAACGTGTTCATGATGGAAAGTACCTCGACTTAGAAGCAGGAAAGGGAACTGCCAGTAACTAACTGGCACCTGGCTGGGGACAGCAAGTCTAAGCATGTGTTTCAGTAAAAGCAGCTGTTGATCAAAATTACTTTAAAATGAGAAAGAGGGGGTTACAGTATAGCTCACCCATTTAAAGAAGCATGTTCAGATTACACACAGAGCAACATTATTTTATTTTATTTACATCACGTTTTCTGGTTGCTGTACTCACAAACAAAACTGTATAACACTGACGGTCTTTAGGACCTTTGGGTTAAAAAATGGGTTATACAGTGTTCAGATCATTCTGCTTACAGGGATTACCTACATACACTGAGCCCTTTATTTAAAATGTTGCTCACTTGACCACAATATATCTGACATAATATAAGGAAAATACATTCTCTTTTAAATTTAAAGCAAATGAATCTCATTTTATTTAACAAACTGAAGGTTGAAGTGATATTCAAGGTCACAAAGTAGATTTTGTTTATCTGCCTCTGTTATATGAGTTCTCGTGACCGAATCATTGTTCAGCACTTTCCCAGTGAATCGGTTTGTAACATATGAAGTGAAATTGTGTCAATTCTACTGATTTGGATTAGATTAAGTGAAGTGGCTGGGTGATATTTAAGCCTTTAAATTCATTCATGTTGCTGGTGCATCATACAGGACACTGCTGAGCCATTCTGTATTAGAAAGTAATATGATTTGAAACAGCGTAGGACAAAAGTGACCACAGGATTCTTTTCTTTGTGCAAATTGTGTATAAGCATGTAGAAAACAAACACATTGCTCATTAGGACGAGCTCGACATCCCCATAGGAGATGTCTCACGGTGCAGCATCTTTACAGCAAATTACATCCTTCCACAGGTAATGAGAAAATGACAAATTGTACGACGAGGATGTGTGGAGGCAGAATTTTCACGCTGAGCTGTTTTAATCTAACACGGGAGAAAAATGTACTCCCCGATGTTCAGATTCACCTG